TTTTTGTTGTAGGAGGAAGATGTTCTCGTTGCTGCTTCGTGTAGGGGCCGCGCTTCTTGTTAGCTTGTACTTCATGCCATTCAGATTCCAGGATTGCTAATTCTGCATCTGGGATATCTAGGTCGCTGTCTTCGTCAGCGTGTGTGGGTTGGGACCGGGACGGCGTCGCAGGGGGGACGTCCCCCATAGGTTCCTGCGTCGCCGCGGTTTGCGTCTGCTGGAGGAGTTGGTGCTGTAGGACCTCTTCGGCCGGCTGGGTGGCTTCAGGCTGGCTCGGGGCTGGTGTTCCGTCGATTGATACCGGTTCCGCCTGCTGGGCGAATACGTGATCTTGTTCGCTGCGGACAACTCCTTTGCCAGCTCCTCTGCCTCGAGGTTGTCAATGAGCGCCCACGGCACGCCATGGGCAATCACCGAGACGGTACGGAACGCAACCTTTGCATCTTTGTGGAGTGTGTGTCACCCAGGCTTGGTTCTGCAGACACCACTTCCTCCCTTCTTCTCCAAATGTGATAATGTAGTCTCCGCTGAGACGCAGCTTCGTGACCGCTCTGGCGTCGGCCTTGGGGAACTTCTGATTAATCACTTTCACAATATCGCTGGCCGTACGCCTCTCCTGCTCAGCAGTGAGTGGCTTATCGTTCAGTTTGACCGTGAGGCATCGTTCGGCTCGAAGGGGGACAAATGCCTGGGTGCCCATCGGGGCGAGGTGGGATCTCTTCAGACCCGTCGGTCGGGCGTTCGGGCCCGTGACTACGGTAGCCCAAGTCTTCGGGGGGGTCGCTTGCTTCTTTGCAATGTCGGCGACCATCTTCTTTAGCTCGTCCATGTCATTCCGAAGCTGCTCGGTGTGGAGTTGAGGCGCCCAGCCTCGTGCACGCAGGATGTCCTTCGCGATTTCAAAAAGTCTTTCCGCCCACGCCGCGCGAGCGTCTTGTGGGCTATTAACACCGGGGAAATTCATAGCCTCGAGGATAAACTTCTCCGCATCTTCCTGAGGGGGTTTTGGGCCCGCAGGGACTTCTGGCTCGGCGCCGCCGGCCGTCATTGTCGTCGTCGGTGTTCCGGCCACGAGATTTCCGGGCGCGTGCCGGCTCGTCACCAGACCGCCACCGGTGCTCCCGTCCGTCGCGACACCCGCGTCTTCGATGCGCAATTGATGTGGCATCGTAGATACGGGTAATCGAACGTCCTGAACACGATTCTGATGTCAAAAATGATTTTGCTGTCGTCGTCGACCAAGAACCCGCGTTTCAACGTCTTGCGAACTTTTATTCTACTTATCGTTAAATGAAGCGTTATTTACCCTTTACCAACGCCCCGTTAACGCTATAATATTAATTATACAAATTTACATGCACTCCCTCCTGAATAATGGTTAAGAGATATTTATATTTATTTTATTTAAGGATAAGCTCTTTTACGCGCTTATTTCTTTAAGTAAATTATTTTACGAAATTAAGAAGGAAACAACGTTGTGATTTTGGAAAGGCGAAGATATTGCAACGTTAGGAGTGGTAAAATTCGAAAATATGTTAATATTATTACTATTAAAGGCGGAAGGTATATTAGTATTTTAAATTCCGGACGCCGAAAATACATTAGTATTATAATTACCAAAAGAAGAAAGTATATCAGCATTCTAAATTCCAAATACCAAAGGCATATTAATATTGTAGTTATTAAAAATGATAAACGTATTAGTATTATAAGTACTAAAGATTGAAGGCGGATATTTGAGACAGCTGACACTATCTGGGCTGCCACATGCCTGCTATTAAGGCTCCTATTTACATGAGTGCTGTTTAATCGGGTCATCCCATTTACAGGTTTGGCTGTCACTAGTTGTCGCCTGTGGTCTGGGTATAAAACCCAGCTCTAGCATCGAGCCTTCCCTTTTAAGATTTCTTCCCTCTTCAGCTTCTTATTCTTAGTCCAAGTTAATTAAATTATACACAACGTGCCCTCTGGTTACGTCGTGACAATATTAGGAAATATATTATTAAATGAAATTAAATATAATATCTTCCTTTTTAAAAAAATAATACTTTTTTTAACCTGCATGTCTTCAATAAGTTCCAATCAATTATTTAGAGTTTTCTCAACAATAATACGTAATCTGTTTACGTTGAATTAGGTATTGTTATTGCTTATTCCGGCTATTATAATTATTTTTGAATCTATTGTCTTCTTCTTTCCTTTCCAACTAGGTTTAGAAAGCGTAATTGAAATTAATACCAATATAATTATAATCTTTATTTCACCCTTTCTAACGGACTTGCGTAGCGTTAATAGTATTTTACCTTCGTCTTCCTACGTCCAGATAGTAGTTAAGAAATTAAGATACGACTTTTATAGGAATTATAAAGTAATTTAAAAATGAAATTAAATATACCCAATTAACGTCTTAACAAATTTTTATTTACTTCCTACTTAGAGGCGAACTAGAAGAATTAAAGGTATTAGAATATGTCATGGGGCTGGCGCCTAGGGGTGTTTGCCTGGCTTGAACTCTATGAAAGCCAGGCCTGCCCTCTGACTGGGTGCACTCCTGGGGTATGCCGCACGAACCACATTTTCGACCTTGGCGTTTCTAGCACCTTCGATATACGCACCTCTCTTGTGTATTTAGCTGTAAGCTCCATGCCATACTGGCACAGACTTCCCTTTTCCTCTTTGTCGAATATTATCACTTTCACCAAGGCCTACCTGTGTGTATACCTCGTAGAACCCTTACAGAATATTAAATAGTATTATTATCTAAATTATTAACTTTTTTAACCCGTTTCCAGGATAAGGTTTTCGCTTGTGACAAGGGTAGTGTTCTGGGCGGCCTAGCGTGGAGGTAGTACAGGCAGCAGTTGTGTCGTTGGCTGGAATACGCCAAAGACGCTAAGGATGCTGAGGGGATTCTAGGTAAGTCGTGCCGTTAAGGGAATAGACTTCCCGAAAGTGAGTGTGGCTTGGTTGCCTGAGGCATCAAGCCGTGTGGCAAGGCTTAGGGTTCAGCCGTGCGGCTCTTGGGGAGATTAGTGATGTTGTCGAATGTCCGTGTGACATTGCTAATAATAATTTCCCTATAATATAAAATTAAAGTTCCGGTTCTTCAAATATTCAAAAAGAGAAAAGAGAAATATCCGGGAATTAATTGTTGGAATTATTATTAAAACTACTTCTACTTTCAACTCTTAAAGGGGTACTCGGATCGCTACCAGTATATTAAATATTTTACATAGTTTTTATTTATCTTACGGAATAGTTTTATTGGTTGTCATTTTCTGCTTCTAAAAAAACTATTTAATTATTGTTAACGTGTGGCTAGTA